GGACAATGGGCATAAAAATAATGGCTGTTTGTATATATTTTGTTGTTGTCCTGTATTTCTAGTGCAAAGATATTCAACTAAATACACAACAAATACATATTTCTATTTTGAACATGCTTTTATAGTCTAATGAGCATTTTTAAATATTGCAATTAATGGGCATTTCATGCTCCTGCGCTGTCAGAGAAAGTCAAGGAATGGACAAGCACTCTGGTGGACATTTCATGTTAAGCTTTGGGTTTATTTTGTTCATCAGTAGGTTAATTTAAGATGATTTGTTTCACAGTGGCACTTTATGTTTTCACTTTTGACTCACGCCACAAGCTTTGAACTAAAAAGCCACATGGGTTTTTATATACTATTTTCATCATCAACTTCAACGACTTCACTTTTTTTAGTACGCTATATTGTTGCTTCATAACTCAGACCTAGAAATAGTAGGCCCAAATAAAACAAAAACTTTTAAAAACTTGCTTTGAAAAAAAAATATGTGAAATAATTGGCGTTCTGATCTGATATGTAGCCCTAGCCCTAACAGCTAGTCTCTGTGCAGATGATCTGCCTTGACTGAAGAAGTTCACATAAACGCATCAGATTGGTTAAACTGTAACATTGGGCTGCTACAGAAACCACACTGGTTTATGTTCATGTTTGTACCAGAAATGCAATAATTTAAATATTGAAATATACATTAATCAACTTTGCTACAGTTTTTTTCCCAAGTGCTCAGTATGTCCTGCTGAAATACTTTGCCAGTTGATGCCTCCTGTTCTAGTGATTGGAAAGAATAGTATTTATTTCTAAAGCTACACTGGTAATTAGTAATATGACCATAACGCTAGGGCGTATTACACGATCTCGGTGCCTGCTTCACACACACAGCCCAGGCAGTACCTCCAAAATAAAAGTTGTTAATGTTGTTGTTTGTAGTTTATGACGTTTTTATGTGTTTATATATATATATATATAATATATATATATATATATATTGCCAAACGTATTTATATATATATATATGTATATATATATATAAATATTGCCAAACGTATTCGTATGATGTTGGCCCACCCTTTGCAGCTATAACAGTTTCAACTCTTCTGGAAAGCCTTTCCACAAGGTTTAGGAGTGTGTTTATGGGAATTTTTACCCATTCTTCCAGAAACGCATTTGTGAGGTCAGACACTGATGTTGGACGAGAAGGCCTGCATCACAGTCTCCGCTCTAATTCATCCCAAAGGTGTTCTATCAGGTTGAGGTCAGGACTCTGTGCAGGCCAGTCAAGTTCTTCCACACCAAACTCACTCATCCACGTCTTTATGGACCTTGCTTTGTGCACTGGTGCGCAGTCATGTTGGAGCAGGAAGGGGCCGTCCCCAAACTGTTCCCAAGTTGGGAGCATGAAATTGTCCCAAATCTCTTGGTCTGCTGAAGCATTGAGCTCCTTTCACTGGAACTAAGGGGCCGAGCCCAACTCCTGAAAAACAACCCCACACCATAATCCCCCTCCACCAAACTTTACACTTGGCACAATGCAGTCAGACAAGTACCATGCTGTCTCCTGGCTTGGCGGGGTCAGTATGGGGCAAGTTGGTCTCTGTGGAGAACAACAGTCCATCACCCCACCCAGACCAAATACACTACCTCGCCCAGGCATTCTTTTACCACTCTGGGGCCCTACCATGGTGAGTGGAGCTTCAGGTAGCGCCCTTTGTATAGCCATACCCGTGCACCATGTGAGAGCCGCTGGCCCTGGCAGCCCAAGTCATACACCTGTTTTTGGTAAACAATGGTGTTGCCCTGGTAGTTCCTAGCAAGCTGGTGTGCTGCATGGTGTACTGCTAGTGGCTCAGGCCCACTGGGCCTGGTCTCACCTGTGTGTAGTCTATACATTTTAATATCAGTAAGAAGTATGTCTCATTTTGAAAAGTTTGGCAGATGACATTTATCAGGTCAAGAAAAAGAGTGATTAATTAATGACTTCATTTATTTCATAATGAATACAACAGTGAAAAAGTGGAAATATTTTGCCACTTTAAGGGCCACAAACATCATGAATCCACTAAGAATCAATGCTTTAGTAATGCTAAATATGTTACCACTTTACCTTGAGGGCCACAAACATCTTGACATCCATGATGAATTAATGTTTTAGTAATGCTAAATATTGCACTGCTTTACTTTGAGGGCCACATTATCTTCAACACAGATGAACATAGCACGGGCATGGGACTGGTGACTCTGACCAAGTTCCATTGACTAACTCACTTCAGGCAAGCTAAAACTGATATAATATTATACCATGTTAAACCACGGTTGGGCCAGGTTTTACTGTCCATAGTGGCTCCTGCCACCTAGGATTCAGCACTAACTGTTTTGTATAGTGTGGCCAGCATGGCTCAGAGGTGGGGCCGGATCACCATGCACTGGCTATGATTCCCCAAACCCGCATGTACTCACTCTGCTGCGTCCAGCAACTATAAAAACACAGACTCAGAGATAGACAGGCGAGAGGAATGACTCCTTGTTGCTCCTATGCTAACATTCTCTCTCTGTGTCTTTCTCTCTCTCTGATTGACACCTTTTAGAGAAGGCTTACAAGCTGCTGGTCATGAACTGTGGACATCTTGGAGTAACCTGCTGACTTCCAAAATCACCTCCCCAGAAGTTTCGTTCTTCCCTCACTACCAAGGACCAGAAACCTCATATTTCTCATGAAATTTCACTGCATTTTTGTCAATATTCTCTGGGGTTTCCATTGTCCCTCTGCGTGTGCATCTGTAATTTTATTGTCTACTATCCTGCTCACTGCTGCGCTACTCACTTACCTCTGGTTTCCTTTAAGCACCTCCTTACAGGTATCAAGGTCACATGCAAGAGGGATTGGTTAACTTCAGCGGCTGGGCTGGGCAGTCTCAAGTTGAAGCCCATAGTATCTATGACTAACTAAAACCCTTATTAGACTTAGCTAGCCAGCTGTCTTTTGCCACTTCCCACTGACTGTCAAATGCAAGAGCCTCCTCTAGATAGGTTGAAGGATCAGGCATTTATGGACACAGGAAGTATAGTGACCCTGGCTCAACCCTCCATGGCCAGTGGCCCAGTGATGAGACGCTTCCAGTTTTGTTTTTTCTGGCTAGAAAATGGTCTATGTGAATATCCCCTCGCCATAGGTCTTTGTGAAGGAACTGGGGGAATGAGAGACTAAAACATACATGTTAACAGGTACAAGAGATTGACTGGGTTCCCTGCTCTCCATCTACACTTCCCTGCTCCTTATCTACCACTTTCATCGGCCATGTGGTAAAGGAGGCCTGGCAGCAACAGCCTTCACCCTTCAGGTCCAGGATAAAATAGGTGGAGTTGGCTGCAACTGTGGTGACAGCAGGCTCAAAAGCATGGACACAGCAGAGTGTGTTGGAGCTGGTGCTGCAACTCTTGCTGGGCTGGGCCTGGCCTTGAGCCCATAGCAAAATGTGCTTGTAACCTTTCGACATCCCTACACACTGAGGAAGGATTGATGGCTCACCAGCCCTGATGAAGCTCCTGATGGCAGAAAGTGAAAAGCCAGACTCCTTCTTCTGCCCTTGGCCTACACTGAAAGAACTGGGCCTGCAGTTGCACCACTGACTCTGTCTCTACATTTAGGGTCTTTAACCAAGCGAAGATTCTTATATCAGTGTCCTGATTAGGCAGTGAGGCCAATAGAACCTTCCCATGTTCTCCTTTTTTGCTTTTTGTTCTCCCATTAGGCCCTGCACCTGTAAAAGAACCTCAATCTGTGCCTGCCACTCCCAAAATCTGACCGACCCTTCCTACCCACCAAGTTTTAATATATATAAAATTTAACATAACGTGTGTATTTACAATACCAAATTCTACTGTACTTTGACTTCCCCACTGGACTCAACTCTGGGTACTTGTGAGCATGTAGTGGGATCCTGCTGACTGTGCCACAAAATGTTTCTGGCCCCTGAGTGTGGTTGGTATAGTGTAGTGGGTAAAACCTCTACCGGCTACGCTGTAGACTAGGGTTCAATCCCCCATCTGGCTAGGCACCCTATGCTATACCAATAAGAGTTCTTCAGCAGGACTCCTAACACTACTGTTGCCTACCTGTGTAAAACGATCAAATTGTAAGTTGCTCTCGATGCCATAAATTAATGTAAAAGTACCCGCAAATGTCCATTATGAACCTTTCTCTGACACAGACTATCCCACCTATGTTAAAACCTTTTACACTGTAAAAACAAAGTCACAGAGGCTATTGAAAATTATCTACAAATGAGCCAAAGTGATGGTAATGCCAGTATCCAGTGGTCAGCGGTGGGGTCCTATGAGATTGGGGCAAGTTTAGACTGAAAAACACTCATTGACTCATTAAACGTAAAAAGAATGCTTAAAATTTGTACATTTCCTTTGACATTGGGGTTATGCATAACACTACACCTTACAATTAAAATGTAATCAATTTCTACAATATGTAGCTTTAAATCAGAGATAGAAAAGATTTTACACCATCAGTGTCAGCATGACATTCTTATTCTTTAAAATTATTCACCAAATTCTTCAGCATAAACTATACAAAATAATTAGGGATCTGTCATGCAGTCATCTGCTGCACTCTCTATGGAATTCTCTCACACAAGCTTTGCCTATAAAAAGTGAAACAGTGAGCAGAGAAGTAAAAGGCAGTGTGATCAGCAATCCATTTCTTTCTCTCTACTTGTGATGTATAACAAGTAAAATTTTTGGATTATCTTTGTTCACAAACTATATCTACTACTATTTTGTCATGTATGCCATGTATACAGAGAATATATATATATATATATGTGTATATATATATATATATATATATATATATATATATATATATATATAGTGTATTTTGGGATGCTATTATAACTGGTTGTTATTATAATACCAACTCCAGTGTATTTATACTGCAACCCTGATTATGCCAGTGCATGCTTGATGGTCTGTTTCTTCTTGTTTTCAGGATGTCACAGAAAAATGAGACTACTTTCATAACAGAGTTTTTCATTGTGGGATTCCCTGGACTTCGACCTGAATACTACAACCTCATAGGTGCCATTTTTTTCAGCATCTATGTGATGATAATAATGGGGAATTCTATTTTTATAGTCCTGTTTGTGACTGAACCAAGTCTCCATAAGCCCATGTACATTATCATGTTGAATCTGGCTGTGTCTGATGTTGGATTCTGTACTGTAGCTCTCCCTAAACTGATCTCTCGCTACTGGTTCAATAATGGTTACCTCTCCTTCCAGCTCTGTCTGATGCAGAGGCAGTTCATCCACTATTTTGGTACATTGAACTCTCTTATTATGATGATCATGGCTATAGATCGTTATCTGGCTATCTGCCACCCACTCAGATACCCTGTATACATGACCACTCGAACTATGAAGTTTGTAACAGGTTTTATTTGGGTTTCTGCTATGATTTTCCCTGGTATTTCTACATCTTTGACCGCTAAGATGCCATTCTGTGGGCCTAATCTGATAATGAACTGCTTTTGTGACACCGTTTCTATGAACAGTCTAGCCTGTGCTGATGTCAGCTCACAGAATTACATTTCCACCTCAGTTGCAACCTTCGTGCTTCTTTTTCCCTTCTCGTTCATCATTTTTTCCTACATCAGCATTGTTGTTGCCGTCATTAAGATTGCCAATATTCAAGGCAGGCTGAAAACATTCTCTACCTGTGCCACACAGCTGGCTATCGTTAGCATATATTACATACCCAGATTCTTTGTGTATGTAACACCTTACATACCTAACTTAAAACTGAACATTGACCAAAAAATCTCACTCACTGTGTTTTATACATTGTTTCCAGCAATGGTAAACCCACTTATATACTGTTTCAGGACCAAAGAGATCCGACAGCTGTTACTGAAGTGGTGTTCTAGGAAAAAGACCTTCAGTCACAACAATAATGTTGTATCTGTTTCTAAATAAAATCTTATAATGTATCTATTAGCATTGCTGTTGTTTTGATTATAAACACACATACTGTACATTCATTGTGTTTACCTTGTTTATTAAATATTTTTTGTTTAATTCCATTAAATAAAGTGCATACTGAGTCCTTCACTGCAAAAGCTTGTAAATACTTTTGCATATTAAATTAACTCTGTTCATCAAAACATACTGTGAATTATTGATACTGATAACTCTTGATAAATATATGAACATGAGAAAATAAACCACCTACGGTTGATAATTATGTATTTAACTCAAATAATAAATTTAAATACTTGTTATTTTTCCCCCAAATACTTTTACATTTCAAGATTTTATTAAATTCAAAGCGTGTGAGTTTTAGAGAGTATTATTTTACCCTTGCTTATAAAGGACTAGGCCTTTTCTGGATGCTTCTTTGTACCCACACATGATTGCCTCAACTCTTTTAAAAGGTTTCTGAATGTTTAACAATGCCCCATCCCAACTTTTTTGGAATTATGTTTGTGCAATCAACAGTGCTCAAGCAAACCTGCAGGACTGGGGAGAGTGTTCCGATGTAGAGATCTGGGTAGGCTAAGAGTCCGAACGAATGAGTTAAGTGAGTTAAGTTATGATCGAGTACTTCAGATACTGTACTAAATGCTGAACTGTCTGACTACCTTGCTGAACTTTGTGAGTGACCTCTTCTGCAAAGGTTCGCACAGTACGCAAACAGCCCACTTTTGCAGAAATGCTGGACATAATATGAGCTATGACCAGCCTTGTAAACCTGGCAGCTATTGAGAATGACTGTGCTACTAAAGTGTTGAGGGCCCATTCAGTTCACAGCAGTGGACAATGTTGTCAACTAAATGATCATTCATGATTAGAAAAATACATTATTACTTAATTGCATGTTGCATTTAAGGCTCATTGTGAGATTTAGATCCTCAGTTTCTAATGAACTGAATTTCTAATTAACTGAATTTCAAGATTACACACAAATCAGATATCTTTACTGACTCATAACAAAATTCTTGTTCTCAAAAATCAAAGAGTATGTAACAGTGTACCAATGTTTATATGTTGAGAATGTGCATACAGGATATTTGGTTGTACACAAAAGTTTGGGCATCCCTGGCCAAATTAGAGTTTTCATTGATTTTTGAAGTAAAAACATAACCACAATCTCTGCAGCAAACTACTTAAAAATAACATTTTTCTGCAAATTTTATGCATAATGACTTCATACACTGACATGCCAGAAGTCATGTTGTAGCGGTATGTAAATTGATTATGAAGTGGTGTTACCTCAGGGGACGGCTTGGAAACGCCCAAACCTGTATAAGTTGTGCGGTGTTATCTTGTGAGTGAGACTGAACACTGGCCAGCGCACTCATGGCAAGGCAATGTGAATTATCGGATTTCGAACAAGGCGGTAACACTTTACATTAAGGGTCGCTAATCAATCATTAAATATATAATAATCAACTATTAGTTTCCCATTATTTAGTTATTAGTTAACTCTTCATTAAGCATTAGCTATTACTTAGTAATTGATTAAGCACTTATCAATTAGTAATTAAGTACACTGTTAGTTGATAAGTTAGTTTGTCGTTAGTTTGTGGCTTACTTACTCATTATCTGTGTGCTAATTGCTGCTTATTACATTGTTAATTAACTAATAAGTATTTTTCTTCATATAAAGAAGTAACGTGATAACTTACTAGCACTTATGTGTTAATCCCGCTAATTGTCTGTTAATTAACTCTCCATCACCTCCATATATTCAGTTGCTTCACTTTTCTCACTTTGGTTCTTGTTCATTAAAGATGCTTATGGTCACATCTGACCGTAAGATGAGCGCACACAAATTCATGGACGGTTTTGTTATTCATCACGTTCATCTTGGCATATCTGTACTCATATCTGGTAGGAGTGCATGTAAATTTGGGCATAAATGCTGGATATGTGGCTAATTAACCAAAACTATTATCAACATAATCTGTAATTGCAAAAATAAGAACAACAATAGAAAATTTCAATAATACTAATTTGTGTGCAGGACAGTCCAGTACAAAAGTGGATGTACTTACTTTACATGCACATTGATATAAACAAGTGCTGCAACTATTTCATGTTCCATTTAAAGACATATTACACTGTGCTTTTGTTTCATACTACTGACTCACAAACACAGCTTCGGTCATACACTGCAATAATACAGCGTTTATTTTAGGGAATTCATTACACTAAACAATCACTCTACTATGTTAACATAAATTTCACTTTTCAGTCCCTTCAACAGTTGCTTGACTTCACTCCCTTAGATTTTTATCATCATCATCTAAACCTTTGCTCATGCTTTAGTTGACCAGAATTAAACATGTTCTGTGTTGAGCAGAGCTGTTGCCAGTGGCTTTCTGAAGTGTTTCTGAGCCCATGCAGTGATTTTACACTACAGAATCATGTCTGTTTTTAAGGCAGTGCTGCCTGAGGGCCCAAAGATCATGGCCAGCAAATACTGGTTTTCAGTCTTGTCCCTTGCATACAGAGATTTCTCCAGATTCTCTGAATCTTTAAATGTTATTATGTACCATAGATGATGAAAAGCAACAGTTCTTTGCTATTTTATGTTGAAAAATGTTATTCTTGAATTGTTGCACTATTTGCTCATGCAGTCTTTCACAGAGTGGTGAACCCCTCCATATCTTTACTTCTGAAAGACTCTCTGGGGTGCTGTTTTTATGCCCAGTCATGTTACTGACCTGTTGCCAATCAACCACCAGGTGTTTTTTTTTAGCATTACACAACTTTACCACCTTTTATTTGCCCCCATCCCAACTTTTTTCGAACATGCCGTTGGCATCAAATTCAAAATGGGCTTATATGTTTCATAAAACAATAACATTTGGTATGTTGTCTTTGTACTATTTTCAAATAAACATAAGGTTTAAACAATTTGCACATCACTGCATTTTGTTTTTTATTTACATTTTGCAAAACGTCCCAACCTTTTCGGAAATTATGTTTTAGATGTAAAGTTAGAGATGATAGCTCATCTGTTGCTGCACAGTTTGAATATCCTATAGTCCTTCATCAGTGGTCACAGGACGCTGCCCACAGGATGCTGCTGGCTGGATATTTTTGGTTGGGGGACTATTCTCAGTCCAGCAGAGACACTTAAGTGTTTAAAACCTCCAGCAATACTGCTGTGTCTGATCCACTCAGACCAGTGCAACACACACTAACCCACGTCAGTGTCACTGCAGTGCTGAGAATGATCCACCACCCAAATAATATCTGCTCTGTGGTGGTCCTGTGGGGGTCCTGACCTTTGAAGATCAGGGTGAAATGGGGCTATGCAAAGAAATGGATTACAGTCTGTACAAAGTGCTCCTATATGGTAAGTGGAGTTGATAAAATGGTCAATGAGGGTAGATAGGGGTTATACCTAATAAAATGTGTATAATTTTTTTTTTCATTTTTTACATTAGCAGAGAAAAATTTAAATAGTTTGCTGCAGTGGTTGTGTTTATTTAGGGCTCCCTAAGTAAACTGTCAAATATGGAGTGCCTAGAAGAAGTGGACAACTAAAGGTAATTATTATCCAAAATTATTAAAAACTATTAAATCTCTACTATGGTTGAATTACACTGAAATTATGTGTTTCATTTTGAGATATCTTAATTTTACACTTTATTATATGATTTAATATTAGATCAACCCTGCACCGTAAACCTGTATAACACAAAATATAGCACTCAAGAAACATTACATCGCCTATCCAGTGGGCTGCTTTACTCTCTATGGGGTTTTTGGCACATAATATCAGGTTATAAAAGAGAGGAGTAGACCAGAGCAATGAGGGTATCTAAGACTCACTCAGAGAGAGGGGTAAGTAAGGCCTATTACTTCCCTCTACACACAAAATTAATAAATAAATAGAACTTAAACAGCCATTATTTGCTTTATATGTAAGCTATACTATCTATATAAGCAGTCTGCACTGATACATTTCAAACACAATGTCCAGTCACATGTTCTTACAAGTAACTGGTGTTGTTTTTGATGTGTATCTATTGCTTTAACAGTAGCTCTTTCCCTTCCAGCTGTAAAGCACATAATTCATTATTTGTGGAGCACTGAACTCTTTCTTGATCATTTATTTGTTACTTGTGTGTAATAGTTTCGTTTCATTTTTTAGTTTAGTGTGTATCTTCATGCTTAGTAGTGTAGCTATTAAAACACGCATTTCACTTTAACTGCTTAAAGCATGCTAAAAATTAAACAGAAATTTCACCCGTTTCTCCATGTTTTCAGTATGTCAGAGAAAAACCAGACAGTCGCTACTGTCATAACAGAGTTTTTCATTGTGGGATTCCCAGGACTTCAACCGGAATACTACAACCTTATGGCTGCAGTTTTCCTCAGTATTTATGTTGCTGTATTAGTGGGTAATTCTGTCTTTATGGTGCTATTTGCAATTGAAACAAGTCTCCATAAGCCCATGTATATCATTATGTTGAATCTGGCTGTGTCTGATGTTGGATTCTGCACTGTAGCTCTCCCTAAACTGATCTCTCGCTACTGGTTCAATAATGGCTCCATCTCCTTCCAACTCTGTCTGATGCAGAGACTGTTCATCCACTATTTTGGCACACTGAACTCTCTTATTATGATGATCATGGCTCTAGATCGTTATCTAGCTATCTGCTTCCCACTCAGATACCCTGCACTGATGACTAACCGAACTATGGGCCTCTTATCGGGGCTTTCCTGGGCATCGGCGCTGATTTCCCCCAGTATTTCTTCATGGCTGACTGTGATGATGCCCTTCTGTGGGCCCAATCTGATCATTAATTGCTTTTGTGATACCTTATCTATGAACAACTTAGCCTGCACTGATACAAGAGCTGTCTATCAAGTGCAATTCTCAATGGCCATGTTTGTTCTTCTTGCGCCCTTCTCTTTTATCATTTTCTCCTATGGCAGCATTCTGGTGACTGTAATCAGGACAGTGAACAGTCAAGGCAGACTGAAAGCCTTTTCCACTTGTGCCACACAGCTGTGCATCATTAGCTTCTATTACGCACCTCGCTTCTTTGTATATGCAACTCCTAATATACCTAATTTGAAAATGACAGTCGATCAGAGACTGGCAATTTCTATGTTCTATTCTCTGATGCCACCACTAGTGAACCCACTCATATACTGTTTCAGAACCAAAGAGATCCAACAACTGTTTGGGAAATGGTGCTCAAGAAAGAACATGATGAGTCAGAAAGTCAGTGTTATCTTTTTCCCTAAATGACACAACCTGTTTTGTCTTTCATCTATTACTCATGCTGATTGTAAAGTACAATAACAATCTAATATTTGAGGCCTATATATGAATAATTGCAAATGTCTACTAGGTTTGATTTCCTACATGAAAAAGGAATGTTTTATATATAATGAGAATTACTGCCCATTGTGTACTGGCAATGTCATTCTTATATTGTTCTTACATTATTTAAGTTATTGCACGAATGTAAATGTTATACTCCTTAAAATAATAAATTACAACTCTTGATGATGCTTCAAATGATGTTCGCTTTTTTCTTCTGCCACTCTTCCCTTGGAGTGCTAATTAGGGGCTTGTAGATGGATTTCTGTCTCCATCTTGTGGTCAAAATGACACATACATAGTTAGTCTCACTGGTTCTTTCTGTGCATTTAACTTTGTGTGAGTTCAGCAAAGGTGGAACATCAGAAAATGTGGGATGAACAAAGTATCTGTTGCATTGCACTTTGAGTAACTATAGCCAATCAAACGCACAGATCATTAGTAATTACCACAAGCCTCAAGTGTGGTATGATTCCACTAAGCACATGGTTTGTAGACTGATGAATCAGAATATCCTTTTTAAATATATAAGGAGGCATAAGGAAGAAATTGTTTTCTTGTGTATGTATATGTTGGATATATGTTATATTTGAACCGACCAAAACAAAAAATTACTTGGAAAAAAGTCTGGTTACATTTACTTACATTTAAAGCAAAGTAGATTCTTCTCCTGTAAAGTTATCATTTTGGAGACACAAGGTTTTGTTCTAAATCCTTGGGCATTAATATGTAGTTTGTCCCCCCTTTGCAGCTATAACAGCTTCCACTGTTCTGGGAAGCTTTCTACAAGATTTTGGAGTGTCCAGTATTTGTGTGGTTAGACACTTATGATGGACGACATGGCTCTCAATCTCTAGGTCATCCCAAAGGTTTTTGATGGGGTTGAGGTCTGGGCAACCCAACCTAATTTTAATTATTTGTCTTTCACATTTTAATTGAATATTATGGTACATGGTGTAGCTTTGGTACACAACAGTCACAATATCAATATATTTTAGCTAGGATATTTCATAAAATGGCTAATTATGTATGTGTATAGGCACCAACATTAGGCTACCTTCACTGAGGCCTTTGTGTGATGTAACCAGGGCCATTTTTGTATAAACTGGTATAAGCGGCCTTTCGCTGAATGACTGCTGAGAAGTGGCTTAGAAAATGTGTGTGTGTGTGTGTGTGTGTGTGTGTAGGTGTGTGTGTGTAGGGGTGTGTGTGTGGTATAAGCAGTGACAAAAAACACCTGAACCACTAGGGGGCCCCAAATGTGTCCTTGAATACCTGTTTATTTGCCAGATTGTTCTAGTCTGGATGCTGCGGTATCTCCTGCCTGAAGGCAGTATGGTGAACAGGCCATGTGCTGGGAGACTGCTCTCTGACCGGTGGTCAGTTGGTAAGGATCTGAGGAAGCAGACAAAACTTCCTGAGCCTACGCAGGAGGAAGAGATGCTGAAGAGCAGATTTTACAATTGTGCTGGTGTGGAGGTACCAGGTGAGGTCATCAGTGAGGTATAACCAAGGAACTTTACACTGCTAACTCTCTCCACCTCAGCTCCATTGATGTAAATCGATTTTGATCAAAAATAGAATTGAGCAGTCTATTTTTTGACCAGGCGGCACGGTGGCGCAGTGGGTAGCGCTGTCGCCTCACAGCAAGAATGGCCTGGGTTCGATTCCCGGCCGGGTGACCAGGGTCATTTCTGTGTGGAGTTTGCCTATTGTCTGCGTGGGTTTCCTCCGGGTACTCCGGTTTCCTCCCACAGTCCAAAAACATGCAGTCAGGCTGATTGGATGTGCTAAAATTGCCCCTAGGTGTGCGTGTGAATGTGTTTGTCTGTCTGTCTGCCCTGCGATGGACTGGCGACCTGTCCAGGGTGTATCCTGCCTTCTGCCCAATGACAGCTGGGATAGGCTCCAGCACCCCACCGTGACGCAGAAGGATAAGCGGTTTAGATGATGGATGGATTTTTTGACCAAGATAGATTGTTTTACTTATTTTTCTTATTTTTCTTGCATCCCTATGAAGATGATAAAGATGGTAAGTTTTGCCTGGACGTCAGCGGTAAAGTAGAGGTCAGTGTGTTCCAGTCAATAAACACTAAAGTCTCGAGTCTGGAATTTCATCTCTCCTTGATTGAAGAACTGCATAAATTCAATAGAGACTTGAAAACAAGTGTGAAATTCAGTTTCATTTACAATTGAGCTGGACTAAATTAATAAAGAAAAAATACTGAAAGAAATGCTGTTGGACATACAGAGCTGTAGCATGCAGGACAACTTAATATTCTCAGGGATACCAGAGATAACAGAAGAGGATCCAGAAGAAAACATCAAGGGTTTTTGCTCAAACACCTAAAGCTTCCCAAAACTACTATAGATTAGATCTCTTTTCACCTTGTTCACCACATTGGTGGCAGAGTTAACATCTACCCACAACCCAACATAGCCAAGTTTGAATGATACAAGCTGAAAGAGCTTGTTAAAAGCAAAAAAAAAGGGACTAAATTTGGCCTTAATGACCAAGGAAGGAAAGAACACATTAAAAAAGTAATACATGCCACAGTTTTGGTAGATAGACTGTACATTGATTGCTCCACATCAAACAGCACATTGTCTTTGTGTGTCTGGTGTCGATGTTTGTTAGTATATGTTGTCTTGTTCTAACAAAGTCTTCCAGTCTGAGGTCAGTCTATTGTTTAGTTTACAGTTCATAAAAAAATGGGGGTTTCTCAGAAGCATTCTTTTCACTTCATGAGGTGTTAATAGTGATCTGTAGGGTTGGACCTTTATCATTAGTCATGGTATTACATTAGTCTCAAACCAATTACCAGACACCTTTAACACTATTCTCACACCCTTAAAATACATTAATATCTGCTGTAAAGTTTGTTAGCTGGAATATTTGTGACATTAATTCACTAACAAACATATTAAATCATATCACTAAGCTTAAAGCCATTTTTTTTTAAACAATGATTTCGGTAATGTTTAGTTCACATCCTTTAACTCTAAAAAATTAACATGATCATGTGTCCTAGGTTTTAATGACACATGGAGACCAGTAACTCTAGTAACTCAAGTAACTAGTATTTCAGCTGACATTTTTGAAGTGCTAATTTACCAAATCGTCATTTTAGATCCTGCACCTGTGAGCTTTAGCCTTTAGCCTTGAGCACTTTTAAAAGATTTAGATGTGAGTCCGTTTTGAGGGAGTGGGAATCCTTTATTGAACTAAATCACTTCCACCTCATTTTGGGAAACATCCAAAACAGTTTGAAAAGAAAGATAAAGAATCTGAAAAATTCCTAGAACAAAAAAATAAAATTAATATCAATAGCCCTGATGATCAATAGATGATAATATAAGAGAAATAAGATTTAAGATGAACAAAATTGTCAAGATTAGACTGGGAATTCTCAGGGTCGTATGGCCATAAGCGAAGTTTATAGCACCTGGTATGTCCAAGTACTAACCAGGCCCAACCCTGCTACACTTCTAAGTGTGGCACAGTGGTGCAGTGGGTGGCACTGTTGCACCCAGCAAGACGAGCCTGGGTTTGATTCCTCAGCTGGGCAACCAGGGTCCTTTCTGTGTGGAGACATGCAGCCATGTAACACTAAACTGCCCCAAGGTATCTGTGTGTCTGCCCTGTGATTGACTGACGACCTGTTCAAGGTGTTTCCTGCCTTCCACACAATGAATGCTGGGATACACTCCAGCACACACACCCTGCCCCAACCCAGCAGGTTAGATAAAGAATTATTTAAAGCACAGCAATAAATGACATTCTTCACAAACCAGCTTTACCCCTTATACATGAATACTGTCATAATATTGTTAAAACCAGATTAAGATCCAACATTCTGCTCTATCACCCCATTTTGCTGATATAAGCATTTATTGAATGTATTTAATATCTTACAGAAAAACAAAAGCAATTCTAGTGTTTGATTTCAGCAACAGTAATACAAGGTCGGATTATTTCATATTCATATTCAGCAAGAGCTTTATCCAATGGATCAAGACACTATATAAATGAATCATGGCAGCTGTTATCACAATAATGCCCACTTTCACCCAATTTGTTTGCCATTTTCATAGATTCGTCAGAATGATCAAATACACAGTGTATTGATCAAAAAGACAACCCATAAAATTAATCTGTGGGGGTGTGGCTGCCATTTGTGATGGTGTTGTGGTGGATGAATGGCCCAGAGGCTCCCAATTCCCAATATGCAAGGACATTCAGGTTGCTATCTCCCAGTTTAAAACGAAGCTGTATGTGAATGACTCCTCTTACTCCAAAGTCAACATCCAGCAGCCATTATACCATGCAGACCGAGAACAATCCTGCTTACGTGGATCTGGGGCTGCGAAGCCACACAGACCTTTTTTCCTTAAAAAAAATGGAACAAACAGTACACATACAATGTTACAATGTTATGTACATACAGTTATACTACATACTGTGGCCATTTCTCATTAAATATACAAGTGTACACTCAACTTTTACAGGTACCTGTATCATGAATTCCCCTTCACTTGGATCCCCCTGGATCCTTCAGGTAAGTATTAGTTTGAATTAGTTTGAATGTCTGATATAATAAAACTCTCTTTGATATCTTGGGAGGTAATATGTGTAATGCAGTTCTGGTGATGTGTTAGGGTATCCTAACTTTGTTAAACACCACCCCCCAGCACGTCACTCTTCTGAGTGTCATGACAGGAAGTCAGCCATCACGTTCTGACTGACCTTCCTATACCTGATTTGAAACTTAAACAGTTACAGGGATAAGTACCAGCATGTGATTATGGCATTACTGTCCTTCATCTTCCTCATCCACTGCGACACTCTCTGGTCAGTCTCTAAGATAAAGTCAGAACTCAGTAAGTAGTATTGTAAAAAGTCTAAGGCCCATTTCACTGCGAGA